GTTGCAGGAGCAATGTTGTCCGGGTTGAGCTTAAAGTATCGACATAGAAGGACGACAGAGCACATAAAGGCGCCTAATATAATTGAGCTCAAGCTGGCAGCAGTCTGTGCGACGAGGAGAATAATCATGAACTCGCGTGGACCAGAGTTAGCGGGAGTAGGGAGGGTAGACGGCGGGCGGTGTGGATGGGCACGAATAGCAAGACGGAGTGCTCCTTCCGCCAAGGATGCCATTGTGCCAGATGCCGGTGTTTTAGGAGTTTCATTTTCAGATGGAAGGATCATGCCAATAAGAGAGGAGACTGCAGCCGCGAGACATGATACAAGGAGGGCTTGGACTTGAAGCAGTGACAAGTTTCCGGAGATCAATGACCGCCGTACCTCGCGAGTGTCGAGATCACCTATTGAGAAATATTTTCTGTTAGAGGAGTGCTTAATAGAGACCAAATATATGCACCCATATTCGAGGCGGTGGAAAGTCTTGCACTTAGATTCATTTCTAGGTTGCCTTTCAGGTTGAGAAGCATTGGGACAAGAATGAGCAATTCATTTATGTTTTTAAATGCTTGCCAAGTCTGTAGAATGATGAGTTGAGGGTGGTAAAATATTTCCGGACGAACTAACCGCTAACAGCTCCAACAGTTCGCCAGTCAAAAATGTTCCCAAGAGAGCGAACATCAGGGTAGGCATTGTCTTTCGAAAGGAATATTATTAAGTATTTCTCGGATGAGGATCCGATGGGATGAAAAGGCTCACCTCAACAAAAATATCTTTCATGAAACGCCAGTTTGACACGTGCGATGCATTTCTCAGTTTGGAGCGTTCATTTTGATGATGCGGAGAGCTATTTTCGCCTCTACGGACTATCGTAGAGCTCAGCAGAGCTCTGTGGTCGTCCCCATCGTCTGCCTCATCTTCTTCATCTTGAATGGACAAGGCCGGCGACCGGGCTTCTTCCTGAATTTCTAGGCGGTCATGTCTGTCGTTCTCTTCTTCATCAAACCCCTTTGCTCGAGACGCACTATGTAAGCTCATGCGTTTTTCTGGTTTTGTCCCCAAGTTTTGCAGCTGGAGGTGGTGGGGGTCAATGTGAGGAGGAGGCTAAGCGCATAATTTATCACTACGCTCCCGCCGGCCGACACATGGCGCGAACTTATGTAATTACTTGATCAAAATTGGTCATATGAGCTACGAATATGTTGGGCTTTTCAGGTGGGTTTCAGGGCCCCAAGAGCGAGAGCACGGATGGTGGCATTATGGCGAGAAATAGGTTGATGCCACTCCGCCACTTGACAGCCAACCACAACCTCACAAGCGCGTCCTACAGCCGATCCATCGATCTGGCTCACTTGCCAACTTAGAGGAACTTTGTCGCTCAGTCCATCTGCTGGTAAACGGTTCCTTCCAGTGGCACGTGCTCCATCATCAAGAACCTTGCGAGAGTTTCCTTACTAGGTAAGATGTTCCTTTGGGTCATAGACCTCATATCTCAACTTGCACTCTATCCTAACGACCGTCTACTCATAAAGATCACCTCTATCTGGCTCACTGATCGAATCTGCGGCGGAAACTCCCCCTCGCACCTACGCAAATCCGATACAAATATGGCCTGGCATACACCAAATACTATTATTCCAAACCTCCATCAAGTGAACTTCTTTGACCGACTCGAGTATATTCCAGGACAATCGTGGCTCGTCATCCTGCTCAAGGTGATGACGAAGACTAGGGTGGAGTTGAATCTTGATATCGAGGATGGTAGCAGTTTGTAAGTCGAAGACAGGGCCGTCTATAATTTAATGCCTCGGTAAGTATAGGAAAGCATGGAATCACATGATACTCACATACGGCTCCGTCTATGAATTTATCTAGAGGCGGGTTATCCTCTCGAGATTTGTGTCTTTCACGTACTTGTTGTTGTTGCGGGTACATCATAGGTTGCCCTGGAACTACATACTGCGGCTGGCCATAGACCGGCATCTGTTGCTGAGGTTGATAAGGGGACGCATAGCCCGGAGGATAAGCGGCGGGCTGAACATTAGGATATGCTTGTCCATATCCCTGC